TATACCAGTCAAATGGGTCATTCCCCTGGGCAAAATGGGGGGAGGGTTATATATACCAGTCAAATGGGTCGTTCCCCTGGGCAAAGTGGGGGAGGGTTATATATACCAGTCAAATGGGTCATTCCCCTGGGCAAAATGGGGGGAGGGTTATATATACCAGTCAACTGGGTCGTTCCCCTGGGCAAAATGAGGGGAGGGTTATATATACCAGTCAACTGGGTCGTTCCCCTGGGCATGGGGGGAGGGTTATATATACCAGTACTCCCATCCCCTGGGACTTTACACCCATGCAAATTTCGAATCAGTGTACATGAGTTTTCAGTCCCCCTACCTGTTAGCACAAACCAGCTGCATGTACGTGTATACTTAAAGCAATAAATAAACAATGATCATTTGTGGCAAGATATGATCTGATAAGTTGAAGATGTACATGTACACAGCAAACACCCTGTAAGACCTTTGAAATCAAGTACTATAAAAGTCTGTAAAATACGTATGACAGTTCTTTTAAGCTCCTTTAGGAGAAAAGGTTACTATGTCATTTGATGGAAGGAAAAGAAGTGGTGTGTCCGGGTTTGGGCATAGGGCAGCCCAAATTTATTTCTTCCAAAAAATGATTGTCCTTTTTTTGTTAAAAGTAAAAGAATCCTCAACTCCCCTCCAGTCCCCCTCCCCCCGAGTAGCCTTGCTCCTAGGCCAACATCAATCCAACTACTTAAATGAGAGATCCTCAGGTCTGGAGGCCGCCACAGTCATGTGACCCCAATCACTTCCTAAACTGGCCAAGGGACATGTGTTCCAAACACAATTTTTTGATTTCCCAGTATGTACACTGTCACCAATGTTCATGAGTAAAGGGAGTGTATAGATTGTTTGTCCCAGCAGATTTCCCAACATGCATCATGGTTCAAAAAAAGTTCCTCAGTTCCTCTTGATAGTTTTTTCATTGATCTACACTTTTGCACATCTTTGATTAGGTGACTGTTTGAAATCTTGGACATGTGCTTCTTGTTGTATCTAAAATAAAAGGGAACATCTCAAACATGTCATATTTTGTATATGTCAACAGCCACAGTACATGTACCTGCTGTTGTGTTATTGTTGTGGCGAGGATCAAACTTAAGAAAGGTTGTGTTGCCATTTTCTAATGTGTTGCAGCTTTCAATTCTTGAAAAGGAAAGAAACGTGGCATCGTGACTCAAAGGGAGAAACTTGCCCTCAGGACCCCCCATATGCCACTTGAGAGAAGAAGTTTTCAAAAACAGCCTTGATGTTTGGCTCAGATCTTGAAAGAAAGCAGCTCTCCCATCTCAGTGACCATGGGAGAAAAAAATACCTGGCGGCCCTTGTGGCAAAATTTTGTTTTCTTCAAACCCTGGGAAAAAAATTTATATCAAGTGTCTTTGCTTCCACTTACACATGTACTGTAAGTACCTGTGAAGGATGATCTGATAGTTGTTGGATAACAGAGATAAGAAATTGCAAGGCCTTGTTACATAAGGCTTAATCACATAAGTCAACCCAACTGTGCTTTACAAGAGACCTAATACTGTTGTTGCATTCATTCAGTGTAATTTACAGAAGTATGTAGACAGCTCGTTACTGCAGTGGCAGTTTTGATACTAGTCGGTTGAAAGATCCATTGGGTAAGAATGTAATGGAATGCCTGGATGTCTTTTAACTCGTAGAACTCTTCTGAGGAGGCCACTGGTTTAATCAAGGCCAGGCAGATACTGGGGTTTTCAAAATGTCACCTTTTGTCTTGGACCTACATTGTAAATTATTTCATTTTGAGAACCCGAGTCAGATGAAACTCACTTTCCTGATACCACAACCTTCAGGTTGTTCGAAGTATGGGGTTCTTGCAGCTGTGATCATCTGAATCAGATTGGTGGACTTGAGATGTAGCATGCAAGCAGACATGCCCATCTAGTAGTCTGAGATTTGGCTTGTGTGCCCGTGCATCCTGGTTCATCTGCATTATGTATGGTATTCCTTTTTTGTCCCTGTTTTGCACAAAAAATAGTGCACAGGATAGAAAGGACAATAATACCTCCTGTTAAAAGACAAAATTTTGTATTTGACCAGTGTTGACTGTAAAAGGCAGAGGGATGGCGGCAGACAAGTATAGTCACTGTAAAAATGTCCGAGATGTCATCACTTTTTAATCGTTCCCTCGATTTATGCCCATGAATGTACATTTCTTTTCCAAATCTCTACAAGTTACATGTATCATTTAAAGCTTCTTGCTCTGTTTCTTTGATTCCTTTCAGATGAATCTCCAGAAGATGTTTCTGCTACCTTTTAGTTTCTTTGGCTTGTCCTTTTTGTTTGAAAATGCCTTAGCTGGGGGCAAGTACATCTTTGATGCTTTCCAAGATCCCAAACGCGATGCCTTTCTCTGGGAAACCTTCCCGGAAGATTTTCTGTGGGGTGCAGCAACTTCGTCATACCAGATAGAAGGGGCGTGGGATGCTGACGGGAAAGGCCCAAGCATCTGGGATACCTTCAGCCACGAGGGTGGCAGGGTTTATCAGAATCAAACGGGTGATGAGGCGAGCAGCAGCTACCACAAGCTGGAGCGTGACATTGAGATGCTGAAGGAGCTGGGTGTGAAGGCCTATCGCTTCTCACTATCCTGGCCCCGGATCCTGCCTAACGGCACGGCCAAGAGCTTCAACAAGGCTGGGGTAGACTACTACAACAGACTCCTTGACGCCTTGACAGAGGGAGGAATTCAGGCTATGGTGACACTCTACCACTGGGATCTCCCGCAAGATCTCCAGGACATTGGCGGCTGGGAAAATGAGATGATGGTTGGTTACTTTGGTGATTATGCTGACATCTGCTTCCGAGAGTTTGGAGACAGGGTCAAGCTATGGGTCACCTTCAATGAGCAGATTATTTTCACCACCCAGGGTTATGAGATTGGGAACCACGCCCCTGGACTCAAGCACAGTGGCTATGGGGCCTACAGGGCTGGGCATACAACCATCAAAGCCCATGCACAGGCATGGCACATTTATGACCAAAGGTACAGATCCAAGCAACAAGGTAAAGTGTCGGCAGTCTTTCTCTCAAATTGGTTCGAGCCAAAGACTGACTCTGTTGGTGACAAACTGGCTGCAAAGCGGGCTACCGAAATCAACTTTGGTTGGTTTGCCCATCCCATCTTAGTTGACGGGGATTACCCAGCCCACATGAAGGAGTATGTGGCCAATGTGAGCCGTCTCCAGGGACTGACGACATCCCGTCTGCCTGAGTTCACGGAGAGCGAGAAGAAGATGATTGCCGGCACCTACGACTTCCTGGGCCTGAACCACTACACTACGTCCTATGTGAGCCACCGAGCAACAGCTGATCCCCGAGTGGCCAGCTTCACCTTGGATTACGACTTGGAACTGTCAGAGGACGAGGCCTGGCCCAAGGCAGCCTCATCCTGGCTGAGCATTGTCCCCTGGGGGCTTCGCAGGCTGCTAGTATGGATCAAGGACAGGTATGGAGACATGCCCATCTACATCACAGAAAATGGGATGTCGCAGAGTGAAATGAATACCAATGATGAATTAAGAGTCAAATACTTCCAGTCCTACATCAACGAGATGCTTAAAGGTGAGATGTGCTAACCCCAAAACATGCTTGCTTAAAGGTACAGTCCATCAATGCCCTGGGTGCGTTATATTCGTTGGCGGCAACAAAATTACTCAAAGTCTTAGGAGCGGAACATGCACCTCATTACAAATCTTTCGAGCTTCTAATGGTAATTTACCCAAGGTGCATCTTCAGATGCATCTTTGGACATGGCCTTCTTTCACTGTTTTCTTCAAAATAACAGCTCACTAGAAAGATTTACAGTGTTTCACAGGGACTTCATTGTCCCATTATCATCTTTAAACCAAGTATGCTTTTCCACAATGATTTTGTCAGTTACATGTACTTTGGGAAAACTGAAAATGATGGACCGTACCTTTAAAGTACTAATGAACTGATGTACCCAAATCTTGACAGGTGGATGCTGTATTTTAAATCATTGCTCATCCCATGTAGCCTGACAATTTTTCAGAATGTGATTAATTACTTGAACTGTGTTTCCAAAATCCTACCTGTATTTGTGAAGTACAAACTTAGCGGATGTCATCATGCTTCAGGAATAACACCATCCTTGGCATACAGGTTTTAGTTTTTCTTTACCACGAGGCTCTCTCAGAATGTCATCCTCTGATTACACAAACTCTGACCTGACTTGTACATGTATCTTTGGAGCTTGACAAGCATGTCTGCTTATTTGTTTGGGCTCTGTTTAACTGATCGTTTGTCACACAGTTAAACCATTGCTGTCAACAGGAGACCCCTTATGCTTAATTTTTCCAAGTGCATGTGTTTAGGTGCATTCCTTTTTCATAAACATGTACATGAAGGCCTCACATTTATGTACACGTTCAGTTGAAAATTTGTCACAGCACTATGTAATATTATGTAATATTCAAGTGCAGGAACTAGTGCACATGTTCAGTCCCCTTTATTTGGCTGTAAGCTGTTTGAAATCCCTCAAAACAAAACAAAAAAATTTATCCTATATTGATATTCATTTTACCCCTACAGCTCATCTGATTGATGGTGTGAATGTCAAAGGATACTTTGCCTGGTCACTCATGGACAACTTTGAGTGGGCTGAGGGATACAGGGAGAAATTTGGTCTGTACCAGGTAGACTTTGATGACCCTAAACGGCCTAGGACACCGAGGGCTTCCGCGAGGGCGTATGGGGAGATCATCAAAAATAATGGGTTTATTCAGTCAGGATCAAAAGAGAAGACGGAATTATAGTGAAGGATCAAAGCATCATGAACTGAGCTTTGAACTGTCCCAAATCCCTCAGAATCCACATGGATTTTTGGGAGGATTTGGCAGGATGGAGGTTAGAATCCAGTCTAACGGCATGCAGATCGATGCCTCTTAAAAGATCACCGGCATGAATAAACATGTGCTAGTGGACTCCTGATCAGTGGAGGAGTTGAGATGATGTAGGAAACTAAAAAAAAAACAGGGAGAGTGGGTTAATGACCATGGAGGAAAGTACAGTCAGTGCAGTTTATTACAATGAAATCCTGGAAACCTTCGTACATGTATGTATACAATTTAACGCAACCTTTCATTTTTGTTTCACCGGCTTAATTAAAGAGTACATGTATTTTGGGGCATTCTCGGTTTTTT